CCTGCTGATGTTCAGGTGTATATCAGTATGTAGTGTCTCTACTTTAAAGAGTCCTCTCCTGCTGATCTTCAGGTGTACATCAGTATGTTGTGTCTCTACTTTAAAGAGTCCTCTCCTGCTGATGTTCAGGTGTATATCAGCATGTAGTGTCTCTACTTTAAAGAGTCCTCTCCTGCTGATGTTCAGGTGTATATCAGTATGTAGTGTCTCTATTTTAAAGAGTCCTCTCCTGCTGATGTTCAGGTGTATATCAGTATGTAGTGTCTCTACTTTAAAGAGTCCTCTCCTGCTGATGTTCAGGTGTATATCAGTATGTAGTGTCTCTACTTTAAAGAGTTCTCTCCTGCTGATGTTCAGGTGTATATCAGTATGTAGTGTCTCTACTTTAAAGAGTCCTCTCCTGCTGATCTTCAGGTGTACATCAGTATGTTGTGTCTCTACTTTAAAGAGTCCTCTCCTGCTGATGTTCAGGTGTACATCAGTATGTAGTGTCTCTACTTTAAAGAGTCCTCTCCTGCTGATGTTCAGGTGTATATCAGTATGTAGTGTCTCTACTTTAAAGAGTTCTCTCCTGCTGATGTTCAGGTGTATATCAGTATGTAGTGTCTGTACTTTAAAGAGTCCTCTCCTGCTGATGTTCAGGTGTATATTAGTATGTAGTGTCTCTACTTTAAAGAGTCCTCTCCTGCTGATGTTCAGGTGTATATCAGTATGTAGCGTCTCTACTTTAAAGAGTCCTCTCCTGCTGATGTTCAGGTGTATATCAGTATGTAGTGTCTCTACTTTAAAGAGTCCTCTCCTGCTGATCTTCAGGTGTACATCAGTATGTTGTGTCTCTACTTTAAAGAGTCCTCTCCTGCTGATGTTCAGGTGTACATCAGTATGTAGTGTCTCTACTTTAAAGAGTCCTCTCCTGCTGATGTTCAGGTGTATATCAGTATGTAGTGTCTCTACTTTAAAGAGTTCTCTCCTGCTGATGTTCAGGTGTATATCAGTATGTAGTGTCTGTACTTTAAAGAGTCCTCTCCTGCTGATGTTCAGGTGTATATTAGTATGTAGTGTCTCTACTTTAAAGAGTCCTCTCCTGCTGATGTTCAGGTGTATATCAGTATGTAGCGTCTCTACTTTAAAGAGTCCTCTCCTGCTGATGTTCAGGTGTATATCAGTATGTAGCGTCTCTACTTTAAAGAGTCCTCTCCTGCTGATGTTCAGGTGTATATCAGCATGTAGTGTCTCTACTTTAAAGAGTCCTCTCCTGCTGATGTTCAGGTGTATATCAGTATGTAGTGTCTCTATTTTAAAGAGTCCTCTCCTGCTGATGTTCAGGTGTATATCAGTATGTAGTGTCTCTACTTTAAAGAGTCCTCTCCTGCTGATGTTCAGGTGTATATCAGTATGTAGTGTCTCTACTTTAAAGAGTTCTCTCCTGCTGATGTTCAGGTGTATATCAGTATGTAGTGTCTCTACTTTAAAGAGTCCTCTCCTGCTGATGTTCAGGTGTATATCAGTATGTAGTGTCTCTACTTTAAAGAGTCCTCTCCTGCTGATCTTCAGGTGTACATCAGTATGTTGTGTCTCTACTTTAAAGAGTCCTCTCCTGCTGATGTTCAGGTGTATATCAGCATGTAGTGTCTCTACTTTAAAAAGTCCTCTCCTGCTGATGTTCAGGTGTACATCAGTATGTTGTGTCTCTACTTTAAAGAGTCCTCTCCTGCTGATGTTCAGGTGTATATCAGTATGTAGTGTCTCTACTTTAAAGAGTTCTCTCCTGCTGATGTTCAGGTGTATATCAGTATGTAGTGTCTCTACTTTAAAGAGTCCTCTCCTGCTGATGTTCAGGTGTATATCAGTATGTAGTGTCTCTACTTTAAAGAGTCCTCTCCTGCTGATGTTCAGGTGTATATCAGTATGTAGTGTCTCTACTTTAAAGAGTCCTCTCCTGCTGATGTTCAGGTGTATATCAGTATGTAGTGTCTCTACTTTAAAGAGTCCTCTCCTGCTGATGTTCAGGTGTATATCAGTATGTAGTGTCTCTACTTTAAAGAGTCCTCTCCTGCTGATGTTCAGGTGTATATCAGTATGTAGTGTCTCTACTTTAAAGAGTCCTCTCCTGCTGATGTTCAGGTGTATATCAGTAGTGTCTCTACTTTAAAGAGTCCTCTCCTGCTGATGTTCAGGTGTATATCAGTATGTAGTGTCTCTACTTTAAAGAGTCCTCTCCTGCTGATGTTCAGGTGTACATCAGTATGTAGTGTCTCTACTTTAAAAAGTCCTCTCCTGCTGATGTTCAGGTGTACATCAGTATGTTGTGTCTCTACTTTAAAGAGTCCTCTCCTGCTGATGTTCAGGTGTACATCAGTATGTAGTGTCTCTACTTTAAAGAGTCCTCTCCTGCTGATGTTCAGGTGTATATCAGTATGTAGTGTCTCTACTTTAAAGAGTTCTCTCCTGCTGATGTTCAGGTGTATATCAGTATGTAGTGTCTCTACTTTAAAGAGTCCTCCTGCTGATGTTCAGGTGTATATCAGTATGTAGTGTCTCTACTTTAAAGAGTCCTCTCCTGCTGATGTTCAGGTGTATATCAGTATGTAGTGTCTCTACTTTAAAGAGTCCTCTCCTGCTGATGTTCAGGTGTATATCAGTATGTAGTGTCTCTACTTTAAAGAGTCCTCTCCTGCTGATGTTCAGGTGTATATCAGTATGTAGTGTCTCTACTTTAAAGAGTCCTCTCCTGCTGATGTTCAGGTGTATATCAGTATGTAGTGTCTCTACTTTAAAGAGTCCTCTCCTGCTGATGTTCAGGTGTATATCAGTATGTAGTGTCTCTACTTTAAAGAGTCCTCTCCTGCTGATGTTCAGGTGTATATCAGTATGTAGTGTCTCTACTTTAAAGAGTCCTCTCCTGCTGATGTTCAGGTGTATATCAGTATGTAGTGTCTCTACTTTAAAGAGTCCTCTCCTGCTGATGTTCAGGTGTATATCAGTATGTAGTGTCTCTACTTTAAAGAGTCCTCTCCTGCTGATGTTCAGGTGTATATCAGTATGTAGTGTCTCTACTTTAAAGAGTCCTCTCCTGCTGATGTTCAGGTGTATATCAGTATGTAGTGTCTCTACTTTAAAGAGTCCTCTCCTGCTGATGTTCAGGTGTATATCAGTAGTGTCTCTACTTTAAAGAGTCCTCTCCTGCTGATGTTCAGGTGTATATCAGTATGTAGCGTCTCTACTTTAAAGAGTCCTCTCCTGCTGATGTTCAGGTGTATATCAGCATGTAGTGTCTCTACTTTAAAGAGTCCTCTCCTGCTGATGTTCAGGTGTATATCAGTATGTAGTGGCTCTATTTTAAAGAGTCCTCTCCTGCTGATGTTCAGGTGTATATCAGTATGTAGTGTCTCTACTTTAAAGAGTCCTCTCCTGCTGATGTTCAGGTGTATATCAGTATGTAGTGTCTCTACTTTAAAGAGTTCTCTCCTGCTGATGTTCAGGTGTATATCAGTATGTAGTGTCTCTACTTTAAAGAGTCCTCTCCTGCTGATGTTCAGGTGTATATCAGTATGTAGTGTCTCTACTTTAAAGAGTCCTCTCCTGCTGATCTTCAGGTGTACATCAGTATGTTGTGTCTCTACTTTAAAGAGTCCTCTCCTGCTGATGTTCAGGTGTATATCAGCATGTAGTGTCTCTACTTTAAAGAGTCCTCTCCTGCTGATGTTCAGGTGTATATCAGTATGTAGTGTCTCTACTTTAAAGAGTCCTCTCCTGCTGATGTTCAGGTGTATATCAGTATGTAGTGTCTCTACTTTAAAGAGTCCTCTCCTGCTGATGTTCAGGTGTATATCAGTATGTAGTGTCTCTAGTTTAATTTAACAGTCTTTAAAACACACAATCACAAAGTAATCTCCAGTTCCTTTGTTCAGACCTGGAAGGCAGCAGAGCTCTTGACACACACACACACACACACACACACACACACACACACACACACACACACACACACACACACACACACACACACACACACACACACACACACACACACACACTAGGGCTACTCGATTATGGCAAAAATCATAATCACGATTATTTTTGGTCAATAATTGATATCATGATTATTAAATATGATTATTAATTGACTTTGAGAACATCCATTTATTGAACTTTAAAACAAATAATAATTTGAACAGTATATTAACTGTAGATTACCCTGAACGTATAATTCAACTGAAAAACCAATACAAAAATAAATTAAATAAATGATACATTTAAAGGACACCTATCATGCTATATTTAAATGATATATTGTAGGGCCATACCTATATAAGGTATATTTATACGTTTCTGTTTTCAAAATACCAAACAGATCATGATTTTAGCCATGCCTCATTTCGCTCTATGTGCTGTTTGCTGTCTATGGGTCTGATTCTGCTGACCACGCCCCCCTGCAGGAGAGGGGAGACGTGCTCTGATCAGCTGCTGGGCTGTCAGAAGAGGGGGAGAAAAAGAGATCTCCGTCCTCCGTGTTTTATTATATAGAGTCGTTATTCATTTGTTTTAAAGCTCAATAAATAACAAAGAAGACCTTACAGGCCTGGCATATGTACTACAGCGTCTCCAGCGCTTTCGAACGGCAATGGCCGTGGCTGTCTCCTCCTGATTGGTGGAGTTGGCCCAATAGCCGTAGCGCCACCGTCCTGACGTCAGGACAGTGTTCAAATCTGGATCAGTTTTTATCAGATCCGTTGCAGCCCCTTTTTTAGAGATTTGGGTATGGAGGAAAATAGAGAGGGTTGTGTTTTCTGACACTTGGTGAGTTCCCTGGAACACCGGGGACACATATTCATGTAGAAAAGACGTACAAAAGTGCATTTTGCATGATAGGTCCCCTTTAAGAAAAATTCAGAAAGAAATTCAGAAATCTTTAAAAAAAATAAATAAGGTGAAGTATTTTAACTAAAGTTTTTTAAATAAAAGAAAACCTACATTTTGATTAAGTATGATTTGGTCATATGAAATCAAATGGGCTTGTATTTTTGTAGATCTCTGCACGACGGCCTCTCACTGACTCTTTGTCTCTCACTGTATATTTTAGGAACGGAGAAGAAGAAAGCGAACCGGACCTCACATATGTGACCAGTGTAACAAATCCCTCACAACATCTAATTCTTTAAAGAATCATCAGCGTATTCATACTGGAGAGAAACCGTACAGCTGTGACCAGTGTGGGAAAACCTTTGCTAGGAAAAGCAACCTTTCAGCTCATCAGCGCATTCATACAGGAGAGAAACCGTACAGCTGTGACCAGTGTGGGAACACTTTTGCTCAGAAAAGCAGCCTTTCAACTCATCAGCTCATTCACACTGGAGAGAAACCACACAGCTGTGACCAGTGTGGGAAAACCTTTGCTAGGAAAAGCAGCCTTTCAACTCATCAGCTCATTCACACTGGAGAGAAACCACACAGCTGTGAAATGTGTGGGAAAACTTTTGCTCAGAAAAGCAGCCTTTCAACTCATCAGCTCATTCACACTGGAGGAAAACCACACAGCTGTGAAGAGTGTGGAAAAACGTTCACTTCATCAAGTTATCTCTCAGTCCATCATCGTATTCACACAGGAGAGAAACCATACTGGTGTGAAGAGTGTGGGAAAACGTTCATTTCATCAAGTGGTCTCTCAGTCCATCATCGCAGTCACACGGGAGAGAAACCATACAGCTGTGATCAGTGTGTCAAGTCATTCACTACATCAAGTCATCTTCAGAGCCATCATCGTATTCACACAGGAGAGAAACCATACTGGTGTGAAGAGTGTGGAAAAACCTTTTCTCATGGTTGTAGTCTTAAAGCCCACCAGCGCACTCACTCTGCCTCCATCTGATCCTTTTCTGAGTCAAGCTAGCATTCCTCCTGCTTTTCTCCAAATGTAAAGCTGACCAACAGTGACTTTACGTTCTAATAAACATGTTTTTTATGGACTACATTCAGACCTCCCAAAACCCTGCTGTCCTCACACACTTAGCTCTATATGAGAGTGCTCTGGTTAATGAAAATGTTTTTTGATTTCGATAAAGCAGCCTTATACTGTTGCTGCGATGCTGAACGTAACAATGATCTGTCTACCAGCAGCCTGTGAATGAGACGTTTAGGGAACATCTGTAAATAGAAGCATCTCTTGATCTTTTCCGTACATTTCTTAATATAGTCTTTATGTATAATACTTCCTAATCAATTACCCGTTGTGTGTAGTTGCAATTTTAGTGAGCATCGAGTTCAGAAAGGTTCTTGCTATGTTTTGTTGCCCAACATTCACTGAATATTTTTATTTCACATTTATGTTCAATTGAAATGTTTGAGTTTTTGTCCTTTTTGAAGTGATCTTTAAAACACTAAGACACGTTGGGTATGAGAAGAGAGACACTAGAGATACTTGTAATGTGAGACTCAGTCGCAGTTATCCAGGTTAGAACTGAAACTCACTGAGAGTCACTATTTCTGGAGAAAGGTGTTAAATGTTTGAAATATGAAAGTCCATCTTTAGAGAGGAGGGGGTATCAAGGGTGGGATTTAGGGGGAGGGATGAAGGGTAATGTGTTCACTCCTCCATCCTTTTGTTCCTGGAGGTTTCACATCAAGTCTGAGAGGAGTCGTCTCTGAGCAACTACTGCACATTTACATTTCTAAATGTCTGCTTTCTGCTTTCCTAGTACATGTTGGGTTTGAGAAGAGAGACCCTTTATTTAAACTCTGATATCATCTGATTTCTCTCATGTTCATCATTTGACTTCATTGTGACAGCCGTTTCTTTTCTGTGTTCACAGTCAATTTCTTTTGAAAAAATAAATATATTGGAAAATTCAAGTTTTGTGTTAAAGTACAATATTTCTCTGGAATTCTATGTTTGTTAAAGAGAGTGTAAGGCCTGTAATGGTTTATGGGTGTCACTGATAAGAGAAGAGGCAGTTTCTTCTCTCTCCCCTCACAGCAGTACACAGGGGGGGGGGGGGCTCCTGACTTAAGGAGAAATACACTGAGGCCCCAAAAAGGTTTTGTGTCATAGCCATAGAATATGTCTGGTCATGTCCAGTCCTGTGCATCAGATGCCCAGTTTCCACAGATATGGGTATGGAGGAGGGGTCTTTAGGTTTCTCTGTCCTGTTTTTGAGCATAAAGACACTGGTAGAGAGGGAGCAGACTGGAGAGAGGGGGGGGGGGGGGGGGTTCCCCTGGTATACTCTCCCTGGGAGCTGGGGTTTTGCTCTCGGTAAGGTTCTCTCAAACTTGGTAAATATCTCTCGAATTTCTTTGTTGAATGCTGAGTGAATTTCTTTGTGAAATGAGTGGAATGAATTGATGTTTGTTGAAAGTTAGTACCCTGCCACCTGTGAGGAAAGGTCCTCTGAATTCATGCGGGACTAGTTGAAGTATATGAATGTGGAAATGAGCAAATGAACTGATTTGGTGAATGAAAGTTTGAATGTGCTTTTTATTATCACCGGTCATTTATGAGGAGATGCCTCTAAATTCTGTCGGGAGATTTTAAATGTCACAACTGAATTGGGCAGTTGAAGTTACAATTTAGTGTAATAAATGTAAAACTGTGAATTAAAGTTTCACTTTAGAACATGATCACAGCATGATATGTTTAGTATGATTATAATGTTGTAACGAGAGAAGGTAAAAACCCTGTTCAAGTGTGGACCTATTTTTCTTCAAATAAACAGATCCCACCTTTTGGATTGGGACAACTTGAAAGACATGTGCGCTCTCCTCTCCTGCTTCAAAGGTGAGATTGCACACTGCCACACTCACACTTAGGTAGGGCCACACCTCATTACTGATATCAGAATCCTTCAGGATCGCTTAAACAGATTTAGGGGGTCGTCTGAATTGAAACAGCAGTTCATTGAACCTGGTTCTTCAGGAGTTAATAGAGGTGAGATCTTGCTGACGTTGGTGGATCTGAGCCAAGCAGTAAACTTACAGAGACTCAATAACTTCTGTTAGGTCAATTAGTAGGTCTGAGTCATTTGCCGGAATAAATGATCAGCCCTCCCGACTCCGACACAAGTCATCGATATTATCTACCACCAAATCATCTTCTTCAACATCTGTTGTGTCTTGAATGTCCCTTTCATTTTCAGTCCGGTCAGTTTGATCAAATGTTTCTGTATTCATCAAAATTCCTGGCTTAAACTGCAACTGGCTCTGCCTCTGTCTGCCATCATGGTTCCTGCTTTTGTGGGAATTAAATGTCACTGGTTTCAAAATGACAATCCTGGTAGGGGCATTGGACATTTTGGCGCATCCGGATATATGTACACAAATGTGAAAACAATCTACCTAACTATATAACTATCTATCTATATAACTTACTATATAACTAACTGTTATTCATGTTTGATCAGCACTGCATATTTTTACAGTTTTATCCGAGTTTGGAAAGATTCTGCTTGAAGTTAATCACAAAATGTATTAAAATTCAAATTAAAAGCTGTAAAATGTATTATCTCTTGGATTTACACACGGCATCTATTGCACGTCTGTCCGTCCTGGGAGAGGGATCCCTCCTCTGTTGCTCTCCCTGAGGTTTCTCCCATGTTCCCTTTAAACTGTGGGGTTTCTCCGGAAGTGTTTCCTTGTACGATGTGAGGGTCTAAGGACAGAGGGTCTAAGGACAGAGGGACTAAGGACAGAGGGTCTAAGGACAGAGGGTCTAAGGACAGAGGGTCTAAGGACAGAAGGTCTAAGGACAGAGGGTCTAAGGACAGAAGGTCTAAGGACAGAGGGTCTAAGGACAGAGGGTCTAAGAACAGAGGGTCTAAGGACAGAAGGTCTAAGGACAGAGGGTCTAAGGACAGAGGGACTAAGGACAGAGGGTCTAAGGACAGAAGGTCTAAGGACAGAGGGTCTAAGGACAGAGGGTCTAAGGACAGAGGGTCTAAGGACAGAAGGTCTAAGGACAGAGGGACTAAGGACAGAGGGTCTAAGGACAGAGGGTCTATGGACAGAGGGTCTAAGGACAGAAGGTCTAAGGACAGAGGGTCTAAGGACAGAGGGTCTAAGGACAGAGGGTCTAAGGACAGAAGGTCTAAGGACAGAGGGTCTAAGGACAGAGGGACTAAGGACAGAGGGTCTAAGGACAGAGGGTCTAAGGACAGAGGGACTAAGGACAGAGGGTCTAAGGACAGAGGGTCTAAGGACAGAGGGTCTAAGGACAGAGGGACTAAGGACAGAGGGTCTAAGGACAGAGGGTCTAAGGACAGAGGGTCTAGAGGGTCTAAGGACAGAGGGTGTCGTTTTCTCATACTGATATTCTGAACAAACTGTGCTGTTGTATTTGCTGTAAAGTGTCTTTACTGCAGGGTATTTTTTTATTATATGTACAGCACTTTGGCTCGACCAAAAATCGTTTAAAAATGTGCTATATAAATAAAACTTGATTTGATTTGATTTGAAAATGGCGTTATAAAAACGATCTCAAATTACAGCTAAATAGTGCACTAAAATACGTTTCAGAAAACTTTTGAGGGCAGAAATAAACAGTACAGTAACAGAATCTTGATTTGTGTTTGATCAAGACTGCATATTTGACCAGTTCAAATAAGCCTTGGTTGAGAAAAAGGACACCACATGATGGCTGTATGTTCAGAAATGTTCAAAACCAGAAACAGTACATATGCATTTCGTGACAGTTATTTATCATTTGTGACATTGTTAACATGTTTTTAATAAGCATTTAAACATTTTCAATTCATTTCAGAAAAGCTCTTATAACATGAATGGCATGGTGGTTTTAGTTAACGTTAGCTACCTTTGCTATTAGCTAACATTAAAGGTCCCATGTCATGCTTTTCTGGTTATTACCCGTCCCCTTGTGTGTTGAAGGTGTTTCTGCATGTGAACGGTGTGCAGAGTCACAAACCCTCAAAGTGCACCCTGTAGCGAGTAAAACTCTAACCCCTAGATTCCACCGGGTCCGTCTGCGCCGCGTTACGGCTGCGCCGCGGTTTTGGTCCGGCCTCCTCCGGCGTCATACCCTACCAGGCGCATTTCAGAAGCGGAGCGTCTTGCCTGCCGGCTCGCAGTTTTTGTTGATTTGGGCATATTTCCTGGACAGTGTTATGGTTTAGGTGTTTTGCTTTCTCCTCCTCCTCTCTGTCTTCTCTCTCTCTCTCCTGTGCAGTGTGGTGATCGTTAGAAGGCGCAGCTGGTTCACAATGAGGAGCACCTGTACTCATCTAATCAACTCCTCCATAAAACGATAGTTACGTATGTAACTACGGTTCTATGAATACTGGATGACCGCCAGAGGCGGTGCTTTAGCACTGGATATCTTCTGTCTCGCGCATGCGTAGGTCGAATATTTATATCAACAAAGTCACGTGTGACCTCGTATGACCCCGGAAGGTATAAGTTCCGGTATTGTCAACGAGTTCAGTTCTATGGAATCTTCTCGCGGAAACACGAGATTCCGAGTGACCAAGAACTCTGGCGGTCATCCAGTATTCATAGAACCGTAGTTACATACGTAACTATCGTTCTATTTCATACTTACTGACCGCCAGAGGCGGTGCTTTAGCACTGGATGACCTATACCAACAGAGTCACGAGGAAGTCTGAATACTCCCCCTATAAGGATGGCCTAGGCGGACTCTGCAGGAGGACCACACCCAGCGGGTGAGGGGCGGCAACATTCACCCTGTAGTATCTGGCGAATGTGCTCAGAGATGCCCATGTGGCCGCAGCCCATATGTCCTCCAGGGGCACACCTCTCAAGGTCGCCCATGACGTGGAGACACTCCTGGTAGAGGGGCACTTTACTCTGGGTGGCAAGGGACGGTCATTCGCCTTGTATGCCTGGGCAATGACGTCCATGATCCAGTGGGACAAGCGCTGTTTTGAGAGCGCACAGCCCCTTCTAGGACCACCGTAACACAGAAAGAGCTGTTCAGACTGACGCATGCCTGCGGTAGTCTGGACATAAGCTCTAAGGGCCCGCACCGGGCATAGGAGTCTTGACCTCTCTTCCCCCTCTCCTGATGGGGGGTCAAACCCTGCCAGCTGGATAGGCCGATTAAAATGAGAGCGTGCCAGCACCTTAGGGAGGAACGCTGTGTTCGGTCAAAGGTGACACCTGAGCCATCTGAGTTCCACCTCAGACACGAGCTGTTCACGGACAAGGCCTGAAGCTCGCTTACACGCTTTGCTGAGGTGATGGCAAGAGGGAAAGCAGTCTTAGCTGAGAGCCACCTCAGTTCTGCCTGTAACAAAGGTTCAACAGGAGGCAAGCATA